CTTAGCAAAAGTGCACCTGTAATACAGGTCTACAACAGTTTGCTAGATGTCTGACCACTCTCTCTCACTCACTCACACTTCACTCACTCATTACTATATTATATAATTTATAGCAAGATTCTTATTTGTATCATTTAAGCATTTGTATTACTAAAAGTTTTTGATCAAGATTTATTTAAAAATTTCAATCTTTAATATAATTTACATTACCCTACAATATACATACAGTAGAAATTGATGTAAACATTATTATTTTAGCTAATTCTAAAAAGTTTTAATAAAAATGACACGTTTTGCATTTGTAAGATTTAAACCATAACTATTTGATATAATATTTGCAGCAAATATTCTTTTACTGCTATTTTCAATTTCCAAACATTTGTTTATTGTTCTCTCTATTCAACTAATGGCCAGACATATAGGGGTTGGACTAATGGACACAATACGACATTCATAACAGTATGCTGTTCTCAATACAATTGAGAAAAAACTTTTCTAAACATTCAAAGATTTCCCTCTCATTTAACATAATCTCCTGTCCCTCCTCTCCCCTCTTCGGTCTATTCTTTGCCAAAATATAATACAATCGAAAGCATTAGGAAAGCGACTGTAAAATCAAACTTAGCAAAAGTGCACCTGTAATACAGGTCTACAACAGTTTGCTAGATGTCTGACCACTGCTCACATTCACTACAGTATATTCTGGGCTTTTATTGCATTTTTTATGTCCACAAAATCGTTCAAAAACAAACAAATAAGTGTATAATTTATAGCATTTATATTATAATTAAACTTATTTTTATAAATGCTTTGTTACTTGATTTGTATTTTTTACATTATCATTTTTGATTATAATGGTAAACAAAATGATAGCTTTCATGACAATAAAACTCGGGTATTATATTTAATATTTCTGTATTTTGTACATTTTCTTATATACAAAATGATATCAAATTCATTATTAAAAATTTTACTGTATTTACCAAAATAGATAAAATAGTAAGTAACAAATATCCAAAATAATCATAATAAATTATCTTGGTCTAACTTTATTGCATACATATACAGTACTGTAGTAAAATATATGATTATTTAATATACAGTTAACAAAATTCTAGAAAATAATTGTCCGATTTGACCAAAAGTAAAGCGTGTGAATTTTTTTGGATTATAATAAAAAAATTGTGATTTGATTTGTAACCCAAATACACTTAAATCAGTGTTGATTGACAAAACAAACTCACTGTATTCTAGAGTATACGAGGTATATGCAAATGCATACAATAGAGTTCCATATGTTGTGGTGTATCTATTATACCTGGAGTCTTGTTTTGTTCAAAAATGTTATCCCTTTTTATGTGTGTTTTTCTGAGTCCTGTTATTCTGAGTCCCTTTCCCTCTCCTCCTCTTTAGTCCTGTTCTTCGTCCAGACCTTGAAGTCATTGAAAGCATTGAATGAAAAAATGGGTTCTTTTTATGCATCAGTTTATTATTTTTTCTCAGAAACGGTTATATGCTTAACATTACGGCTCACAGAATATATTAGACTAAATGAATAAAAGTGGTCCAAAAGTTGTCTAAAAAGCGAATTTAGGCCACAAGTGATCGTCTGAAGGGGACTAAAGTGTTACCATAACTGCAATACCTGTGAGAAAGTCTCGATAATAGTCTCTGAAAAGCCCTCTGATTGTCAAATAAATATTTTTCTCACTTTTATCATAGTTTATGCAAATGTGAGGTAACGTTGCAGTCATCTCAAGCTTTCTATGTATTCATCGCTCTCTCACTCATTGTATTCAATACAATACATAACCGTTTCGTTCAATACTTATAAGTCATATGCAACGGGACAGACAGTATTATGAACCATCATTATAGCAATTTTATACAATTTATTAAATATGATTGCACTTTATACAAAATAGATAAGTCAAATAACTTATAAAGTGTAAATTAAATAGAAAGTTATCTAAGTGACTTTTTGCTTTAAATCCAAACTAAACATCGGTCAGTGATTTATATTCACATTGAATTTGATGGACAGTACCTTTGATATACTTAATTCATGCAATTATTATCTTTATATTCTGAAATTATAAAAAATATCGTTTACATTGATTACTGTATAAGTTATAAAAGTAGATACTGATGACTGAATATCAAGTGTGCAGCTCTTTATCCATCAAATTTACAGAACCAATCAATTTAGAAGTTTTAATTAATATTTTAAAGTAATTTCATTACATACTTTTATATTTTATTATAATAATGACAGAAATGATAGAGTATTTGTAAATAACATCACCACTTAAGGCGAATACTATACACTGAAGCTCTCTCTCTCTCTCTCTCTCTCTCTCTCTCTCTCTCTCTCGAATAAATTGGTTTGAGATTTTAAAAAAATAATTTTCTGTAATATAATAATATTAATAGTGAAATTAAACACATTAAATTATTAATGCAAATATATCTTTAATATTTGTGGATCAGTGAGCATAAGAAAGTCTAATTAAATAAAATTAAGAAAATGTAAGTTAATGCCAATTGTGTTAATCACTTGTTTAAAACATTTTAGAGTGATTTCAATCCAATTCATAACTTGAGATAACTGTTAACTGTTAATCTCAATAACTGTTTCACTCAATTATAATAATTTTTTTCATAAAACTATTGCTTCCGTATATTAGCCATTGCTTAGATAGTAAGTAAATGAGTGAATGAGAGAGAGAGAGAGAGAGAGAGAGAGCTTCAGTGTATAGTATTCGCCTTAAGTGGTGATGTTATTAAATTTAATGTGTTTAATTTCACTATTAATATTATTATATTACAGAAAATTATTTTTTTAAAATCTCAAACCAATTTATTCGAGAGAGAGAGAGAGAGAGAGAGAGGGAGGGAGAGAGAGAGAGAGAGAGAGAGAGAGAGACTTGGAAAACAAGTCTAGTATTAATGGTGGGCCAGATTTTGAGGATTGGCTCACAAGTGAATACCATATTTTGCCAGCGCTTGGCATTTGTGAGGCAGTGTTAGTAGCGTTCGGGACGTCGACCTGTTCTCTGTTCACTCCATTCAACTTATTATGCTTTGAATCTCAGGTGAAATATATTTGTGTTGACTTCTCTCAATACAAATTTTCATACATGCTTTAGATGTGATACCTGTGCCTTAAAATCACTTTTGCTATTCCAATCGCAACGTTTGAATTTGATTTAAAGTTTGCTTTCAATTGACAAAAAAGTTTTTAATTATATTTATTGTTCTTGAATATTGAAATTGATATCATATTTTGGAAACTGTTTTGTTGTTGCCTTCGAAACAAAGTTTATTTAACTGAAGTTTGTTTCAACTTTTTATTGAAGTTATTTTGTGGACTCTTGTGGTGCCTTCAAAACTAATCCTTTCGTCAAAATCAATTATTTTCGGATTTAATCAAAATTATGTGAAACTGATTACAACTCAATAGAAAACATTTGATTAAAACCATTGAATTTGTTAGTGAAAGATATCGATTGAATAATTGCCTTAAAAATTGTCCAAAATTTTTGACAATTCCTTGTGATTCATGTCCACAAATCGGCTGTCGTTTTGCCGAATAGAGACTCAAATTGATGGATGTCTTCAAACTGGATGACGGCTCGTGTGGAGTGTTGCCTCCCGTCACGAGTTCCACGTCTTCGCCGGACTCTGGCGTCAAATTAGGCGCAGAAATCTTTGAAAACGACTTCTCGCTGTCTTTTTACGACCCGATTAAGAAAGAATATGACGAGAAGTCCTGTATTTACGACCCAAACACAGTTCCCGATGCTGTCTATGCGGCCAAAGAGTATGGACCGCTACCACCCTATCCCGGCACTGAACCCCGAGCTCTCATTACGCCACTCAATAGAAACCCTATGAATGGCTCACCGCCTGCTTTGGCCACTTCTCCTCCTCTTGTGACCAGTAATGCTATGCAAACCGGTTCGGCCACTGCCCGCACCAATGGCCAGACACCCACTCCCGTGACCGTCATATATGACACCAAACGAGAGTTACCCGAAAGCTCGTCACCAAATCATAAGTCCGTAAAAGGGGGTAGAAATAAGAGCTCCAACTCCAGTATATCGCAAGGTATTCACCATTTTATCATTGCTTTCGTAATCTTTTATTCAAATCTTTTCAATATATTAATGATTCAAATGATCATTCATATAATGAATGCTAAATGATTTCTTGGTTTTCCATTTCTCTCTCAAATTTGATAACTTTTAAAGTGTTCACATAAACTGATACATGGTATGCAAGTATTGGATATATTGTATGAAATGCTTGAATACTGTATAACGAAAAAATAGTTAACTAATTGTGTTTGGAAATTAATCTCATATTCTGTGAAAATATTGTATGAGAAATATATGGATAAATAATGAAATGATAGAATAGGTAAAAGTAATTGAAACTAAAATGTCTGTAGGAATGTTGGGGAATGGTATAGATTGTGCCAAGTTCAGGGCCGGGATGTGTAGTCATAGCCGATATGCATCATAACGTTATCCACTCGTTATTGCATTGAATTTAGAGATCACAACAAGAGTTTCGTTACCTTTCAATGTCAACGGCCTATGAGAGAGAGATCGCTTCCGCAGGTCATTGAACCCTCACATTCAAGTTAAGGGACAAAGACCTCAGACTCAGTACCACTCTCTACAACCAACCGCCCCATACATCCATACATACATCCAATACATACATACAATACACATCTCACACATCGCTCTTCAATCTCTTTCTTTCGTTTTCTTTTACTTATGTGTTAATCAATATTTCAAATGATTATCAATGCATTCACGTTACATAATACTGTCATAGATTGACATTTTCAATATTCACAAACATTGCATGATACAATATATTTTGCCATATTATTGAACATATAACATTAATTTTAAAATTAAAATATAATGTTAAATAACTGTGTAGTTTTAGTGAAGGTTAACACGTTTCAGTATAACTAAACTCAGGTATTTTCGGTCCAATCAGAGTCAAAGTCAATAGTTATACAAAAATGTCAATTAAACTGATTTTAAAATTAATACTTTAAATGATAGACAAACCATGAAATTTTCTTGATACATATTTTATATATATTCAAATAGTTATTTAATTAAAATCTGTTTACTTTATTAAAAATGATCAAATCTCCTTAATATAAATGTATCACAAATATAAAAAATATATAATATAATTATTTTAATAATTTATGCAATTTAACTATTTCAATTTAATGTATGAATTATTATCTAATAGATTTAGAAAGTTAATGAGATGTTAAATAACATAAGCAATATTTAAAAGTTTAATGTAAACCCATAATAAAAATTTTATTTAAGTTATTTAGAGGTTTTACTTATTACAAGTAAATATTAGACTTTAAATGTTATAAGAATCTACAATTTGAGCTAAAATATCAATTGATTGGTATTAAAACAACAGAATATATGGTAAATAAAATGTCACAAAGTTGTAATATTTTAAAAATTCATGCTTTTGTATCAATTATTTCTGAAAACCATTGTGGGAGTTTGTAATAATTTATATTTCGTGTAAAAGATGTAAGATTAAACTTACATTGTATGATGTTTGCTTAACAAATTATTTGCATTACACAAACATTAGCAATAGTTTAATCATAGCTTTGCATAATAATTGCTCTAAAAATTAATAGCATATTAAATAGACAGCTATCTTATAATCTAATGAAAGATAATAACTCAGATATAGCTTAGCCTATTGAATTAACTTAATAGGTTTAATGTTATTTCCAAAATATATCCCACTTGAACACATACAAAACATTTAAAACAAAAAATTAGATTCTAGAATCAAAACACTTAAGAATTTGAGGGTTTAGTTGAACACAATTTATAAATACATGTTAACTACCGTATAAACATTTGTTTGTCTAACAATATTCTCAATGCCTGTAATGTCTAATCCATTGTCTCTTATTGTCTTATAGATAGCCACCAGAGCTTTGCGGCCGCGGATTCCAACAGCAATACTCCGACCAAATCATTCGTTCCCTGCAAAGTGTGCGGCGATAAGGCATCCGGTTATCACTATGGGGATATAATGTTAAATAACTGTGTAGTTTTAGTGAAGGTTAACACGTTTCAGTATAACTAAACTCAGGTATTTTCGGTCCAATCAGAGTCAAAGTCAATAGTTATACAAAAATGTCAATTAAACTGATTTTAAAATTAATACTTTAAATGATAGACAAACCATGAAATTTTCTTGATACATATTTTATATATATTCAAATAGTTATTTAATTAAAGTCTGTTTACTTTATTAAAAATGATCAAATCTCCTTAATATAAATGTATCACAAATATAAAAAATATATAATATAATTATTTTAATAATTTATGCAATTTAACTATTTCAATTTAATGTTTGAATTATTATCTAATAGGTTTAGAAAGTTAATGAAATGTTAAATAACATAAGCAATATTTAAAAGGTTAATGTAAAACCATAATAAAAATTTTATTTAAGTTATTTAGAGGTTTTAATTATTACAAGTAAATATTAGACTTTAAATGTTATAAGAATCTACGATTTGAGCTAAAATATCAATTGATTGGTATTAAAACAACAGAATATATGGTAAATAAAATGTCACAAAGTTGTAATATTTAAAAAATTCATGCTTTTGTATCAATTATTTCTGAAAACCATTGTGGGAGTTTGTAATCATTTATATTTCGTGTAAAAGATGTAAGATTAAACTTACATTGTATGATGTTTGCTTAACAAATTATTTGCATTATACAAACATTAGCAATAGTTTAATCATAGCTTTGCATAATAATTGCTCTAAAAATTAATAGCATATTAAATAGACAGCTATCTTATAATCTAATGATAGATAATAACTCAGATATAGCTTAGCCTATTGAATTAACTTAATAGGTATAATGTGATTTTCAAAATATATCCCACTTGAACACATACAAAACATTTAAAACAAAAAATTTGATTCTAGAATCAAAACACTTAAGAATTTGAGGGTTTAGTTGAACACTATTTATAAATACATGTTAACTACCGTATAAACATTTGTTTGTCTAACAATATTCTCAATGCCTGTAATGTCTAATCCATAGTCTCTTATTGTCTTATAGATAGCCACCAGAGCTTTGCGGCCGCGGATTCCAACAGCAATACTCCGACCAAATCATTCGTTCCCTGCAAAGTGTGCGGCGATAAGGCATCCGGTTATCACTATGGGGTGACCAGTTGTGAGGGCTGTAAGGTTAGTCAACACCCCTTTCATCAGTTCATTATTATTCACATTTACTAATGGCCCAATGCCACCAATTAAACAATCAAATATCAATTACTATATCTAGCATGCTTGTAATACAGTATATTACATAACAGTAACTATTAGTACCCTTTCATCAGTTCATTATTATTCATATTTACTAATGGCCCAATGCCACCAATTAAACAATCAAATATCAATTACTATATCTAGCATGCTTGTAATACAGTATATTACATAACAGTAACTATTAGTAACTATCAGTAACTATGAATGTCAAACTTTGAACAATTCAACCCAATGTCTAACTATTAATCATTTAATGAAAATCTAAATAAGTTTTTAAAAAATAGAGAATAATCTAAACAGTATAATAACAGTATATTCAATAATACCACCAATTATTGAATTAACACTAAATATGGCTTTATGTGATCATCAGTGTCTGTCAAAGTGATCCACGTCTGAGTAATTGATATTTTAGATAATATGTATACAAATTTACATCAATATATTGAATGCTATAATGAGCACCAAGATCAAAGCAGTATAGAATAGCAGAGTACCAGAATACCAGAATACCAGAATACCAGAATACCAGAATACCAGGGTCAACCAGAATACAGTGTTAGCCTACGAAAGCACTTGCCTTTGGTTCGGCTCGTGGTTTGGTATGTTGTGTGCCATCTGTCGGGGGTCGGCGTCTGTACTTCATGTATGCGTGGCTGTGAGGGCTGTTCATGAGTCTCACTCTCACTCTCCAACACACAGTCACTGTATTACATGTATTACAGCACTGATTGTCTCTCTGTGTCTCTCTTTGTCTGCAATTTAGTGATTGGTTTGAATGCATTCATAGTTGGCTTCAGTTGCTGTCATATCTGTGTATATATTATATGTAACGCCAATGACTGACAACTACTGACCACTGATTGTCACAAAAAGCACTGATTGTCACTGAAAACCAGTCGATTATTTATTACCATTTGTTATATTGTTTTGTTTAAAATGTTTATGAAAAACACAAAATCTATTTATTATTAAATGAATTGATATATTATTTATTGAACCAATCATTTCATATGAATTAACATAAAGCCATTGAATGGTTAATATATCGTAATCGACACTAATTGTGATTGTGGTGACCACTGTCCAGGGCTTCTTCCGGAGATCCATTCAGAAGCAGATTGAGTACCGATGTCTTCGTGATGGCAAATGTCTGGTGATCCGTCTCAACCGCAACCGCTGCCAATACTGTCGATTCAAGAAATGTCTGGCCGTTGGCATGTCCAGGGACTGTACGTATCCATTGTCATCACCCATTACATCCAGTGCCATCATAACACGCATTCATTGTCTCGTTTACCATCTCTTCAATACAAGTGACAATCCTTTTGTCCCACTATTAGCCCTCATGTGATAAAGTTATCAAATGATAGACACTTTTAAAGTTGATTCCTATGCTATACATAGGCTTACAGTATATGATATAACTTACAATTAGTCTATAAAATGATGTAAACGTCTAACTTATCACAAGAAATGCCTAAAACTTGAAATACACGAAAGTTAATGAATTGTTTGCCACTCTATCCTATGATAGCGTCAGAGATTATCTGTGAAAACACTTATCCGTTCATTGAATATCTCTTTGAAACCATTGATTAAAGCCTAAAGTGCTATAAAAGTTGAGAAATATTTTCAAGTTCTTTGATATGAAATGTTTAACAAAATTATCTTTTGTTTTTTGAACTTTAATTTACTGTAAATATAAACTAAAGTATTAATTATATAATGAATTCATGAATGGTTAGCAGTGAAGGTCTGGAATGAGTCCAAAGCCAATGTCAATGCGAAACGACTTCTTTGAGCATCTTTTGGCACTTGTTTTGTATTTTTATGCCATAACTCATGAGAGACTAGTTTTGGTCTAATTTTAGAAAACACTTTATTCTCGGCATTAGTTATATAAGAGATAATTTAAAGCAAACATTACTTACAGTGCATTATATGTGACTCCACTTCTCTAACAAATCAATAGCTTTTGTGTCAAACTATTGACTATTTTGTGAATTATATAATAATTATTCATTGCTGTAGAAACAAAAAGTGAAAGTTTTTTTAGGAAAACATATTTATAACAGAAGTTTTTTTCAAGACCTTAAACTTGATTCTGATTTTCAGACGTTAAACAACTCTTGTGTCTATATATTAAAAGCTATTTTAAACGTTGATCTCAATTGAGAGATAAGATATCGAGTTCTTGACTCAATATTAACTTTCATTGAAAATCGTATCGAATAGAGAGGTATTCCTCCGATGATTGCTGTTATTATTGGCACAAAACCATAAAATGGTAATCAAATGAGTCTAACGAGTGTTTGGTGTTTGTGATGATTAGCTGTTAGATACGGACGCGTCCCTAAAAGGTCTCGTGAGAGGGGAGAGGAGTCGCGAGTCACTCAATCAGAGGCAGACCAGTCCTCGCGAGACGTGGAGAACAAGCAGTTGGCGATGTATGACATTATCCTTACCATATCTCAGGCACACCACGCGAACTGTGCCTACACTGAGGAGAAGACCAGAGGACTCATCAGAAAGCCCGCGATTTTCGTGAGTTTGCGGCCTTCAGTGCCCTCTAATAAACACTCGTCTATTGTCTCTACCGTCCAGAGTCTGGATGACTACGGAAGCAACAGCGCCAGTGAAGACTCGCCCACTTCCAACTCTGGCTCTGCGGCCGACTCTCTGGAGCAGAAGAAGATAGTGATGTGGCAACACTTCGCTGTTCTCGTCACCCCTTCCATCCAACGAGTGGTCGAATTCGCGAAACGCGTTCCCGGTTTCATCGATCTGTCACAAGACGATCAGCTGATTCTCATTAAGTTGGGATTCTTCGAGATCTGGTTGGTCCACATCTCCAGAATGATCAACACTGTCGACAATACGCTCACATTTGCCGACGGCTCCTACATTACAAGACAGCAAATGGAGCTCATGTTTGACGTAAGATTGCATTCAATAACTTATGGTTTGATGTATTGTTACTGTTTTGTCCCTCATTTTCATTATCTGTCATATTACTCGTATTTGTTGTCTTTTGTTTATTTACCCACGAATTGAATACAATTTGTGTTCATTTAATCATAGCATGAATTCGTGGCAAATATCTTCAATTTTATGGTTCTGTTGAACAATCTTCAACTCAACGACACAGAAGTTGGTCTCTTCGCAGGCGTTGTTTTGCTTCAATCAGGTTTGTATGCTTTTAATTGACACTTCTTAAGCATTTCCCATACAAATCACTGCAACCATCCCTTCAATAGTATTCATAAATTGATTGTTAAGTTGCAAACCAATGAACTGCTTATTAGTTAAACATTTTTGACTAATGTATCCGAAGTTTTGACTTTAAAGTCGATCACTTCTTGACGTCAATAACAATGAGATAATTTATTTGAATTTTTAAAAATATGCAGATTTGTAGTTGACTTAAACTACATTTCCTTAATTTATGCATATTTTTGAGTCATATGTGGTTACAAATTGAATGCAATTGAGGTAATGGAGAATAGTTTACCATTGAATGATGAATCAGATTAATTGATAATCGAAATATTCGTCACTTTATTTAAATAACTCTTATCTTAATGTTGCAAATGTTTGTCTTATAATTGTATCGAGTTTTGGTTAAGACGTAAGAAGTTTTCTCTAATATTAAAAGTTTGTTGTCATAAGGGGTGAAATGTTATCTAATATTTTATTGGTTTAAAAGAGTGAAAATTGCTAAATAAAGGCTAGAATAGAGATAAATGGGTTTTGAATAAAGATGTTTAACATTAACCTTCACTTTTGTCTTACGCTAATGTTTTGTAAGTTTATAGCTTCGGACTCTTTATTTGGTTATGTCTTACGTCTGTTTCAATGTTCTCTTAAGTCATTACAAAAATTTTATGATATATTTGTAGTATTTTTATGAATACTTTTACGCCAACTTTTGAAACATTAAAATAAAAAGCATTTCGATTTCATAAAAGTTATTTAATCTATAAAAGACTTATTTTAAGAAACAAAAAAGTTTTTTAATACAGTAAACATATCTTAGAGGCTTTGTTTTGCATTAATTTGGTCTTCACATGATTTTCTATCCTCGACTCTCTCTCTCTCTCTCTCTCTCTCTCTCTCTCTCTCTCCATTCACTCACTTTCTTGTTTTCATAAATAAAACTTGATTTTCAACTTGAAATTAATCTTAAGTTTATTTTAGTACTAAATATAACACATAGTCAATGAATGTTATGTTAGTTTGTGTACAATAAAAAATCTAGACATAAAGTAAAAAGTTATTCAGATATTAAATAAAAAGTTTTATTTTCAAAAGTGATTATCAAATAGAGAGAAGTGATCAAAACTGATGTCTTCTCTAATCGATGACATTCCCTGTCATTGAGCCCCGGTATACACTGTACCGGCGTCTTAAATATAATCATTAATTGTGTCATTAAACCAAAATTTTAATGATAAAAATCAAATGTTTTGTCTTTAATATTAATTTTATTGAACTCCATTTCTTGATTATCAACCGATACTAAGATTCAATGAATATTTGAATTTTCAAATATTTAAGCGAAAGAGTTGTTTGATTTACAAATGAAGTACAAATGGAAGTGCTTTTGATCTGATGTGAGATATGCTTAAAGAATCGATGAGTGAACTCACGGTTAGCTCTCTATTAGGAATACAAGCAATCATTAAAAAGTATTTTATTGAGTTTGTGGTGATTTTTATATAAAATCAAAAATCAATCAACAGTTTAAAGACTCCAAACTTATACTAGTGTTTGCAGTCATTTGCTGTCATGACTTAAACATTAAGAAAGCAATTACCTAATGGTTGTGCTGTTGTGTTGCCAACAGAGCGCTCCAGTATTTATGACACCAAAGCCATAGATCACAGTCAAGAGAAGCTGATGGAGGCGTTGAAGTTGCAGATGGGACGCAACCACCCGACAGATCCGCACACTTTCCCTCAACTGATGATGAAATTGCCTGAACTGAGGTCTTTGGGGCTGAAACACGCGCATCACTTGCAGTGGTTCCGAGCGAACTGGACTCGACTCAAACTGCCGCCACTTTTCGCTGAGATCTTCGATATACCGAAATGCGATGAACTCGTAGTCTAATCTAATAACTCATTTCAATCGTCGACCACTTATGGTATGTTATTTGCTTTCATTGCTTTCGTTTCATACCTTTATTCGTCTTTCTCTTCATTTTTCAGTCAATTTTTGGTAACAAATAATTTAAGCAAATATTGAATGAAAGAAAATTATTTAAGTTTTTGTTGAAATGATAACTGATTTGATGGCAATTAATATTAATTTCAAGAATTGGTTATTTAGAAGATTTAAACGGTTATAAGAATTCATCAAATTATTAGAGAAATATTGAGAAATATTTAATAATTAATATAAAGAGAAAACTTATTCAGCAGTCGATTGATAGACGTATCGATTGATCGCATTCTTGTCTTTACTCGTCATTTGTCTTCATTTCTTATAAACAACGGAACGAATGGTTTGTTTAACGGATTTCGGAAATATTTATTTATTTGTATTTAATTTGAAAATATGTGAACATTCGGTGGAAATGAAAGTTTATGATTTCAAACAATTTAAATAATTACTTAATTTATAGTGTTTTTTACGGTGAACAGAATTTTATTATAATAAACACAACAATTTATATTATAATTATATCAATTGATTTTGACTCCAGTTTTTCACTCAACTCTTGGACTCGTTTTATTGATTTGAGTCCAAGAAAACAAGTCCACAGTTTTTCACCAAATAATTATTGAAATCAATTTTTTAATATCAATTTCATTCGTCAAATATATATATATATATAAATATATTTAAGATTTTTGAGAATTTTATTATTGAAACGTTTAATAAAATATTGTAAATGTCTTGTTCTCTCTGTCAACGACTCTCTATTCATCAAAATTTGTCACTTTTTCACTATTTATACGAGTATTGACTTAAATGTGCATTAATTATGTTTTTATATTTTATATCCGATTTTTAGATCAATTGTTTTTATATCAATTCCCACAAATAGGTGTAGGGTTTTCCCACTCATCACTATATCGATGTTTGCTTTCACTCATTTGATTGACAAACAAATTATTTAAATTATCATTAATTGTGTTTTAAAAGTAGCGAAAGTTTTCATTATATTATTCTCTCTTTTGTTGTGCTTTTGATTGAAATCACAAAATAAGTCAAAACCTGAATATAAAACAAATTATTTATTATTTAATCGTTGGTCACAACAAACACTCTTTTGATACTATTATTTGTTTGTAATTTATATGAATTAGTCTTAGTTTTCGTCAAATCATTGTATTTGTATGAAGACATTGAGAGTAATCGATGACAAAAGCAAACACAACCAACAAATTACTGCCAATTGTAAACATTCCCATCCCTTCAACACTAACTCATACTTTACTTAATTTAATAATCATTTATTTAATTGAAACACACTTTTGTGCACCAAATATACAACACATATATTGTCTTCTCTTACATCTGTTTTTCTAAAAGCCATTTCTAATTAGAAAAGTCTTTCAAACCTTTTTTGGCAATTTTTAAAATCTCACAAAAGTTCCGATTCTCACTATATATGGTATAAATAATTCTGAAATTGTCTGAAAAACAGTTTTAATACAAATGTATCATAAAATTTATTAAATTTTACAAGACTTCGGTTTTTTAATATAAACTTGATTTTCATGTAAATTACTTTTTAATAGAAATTTTGTTTTTTCCAAACAATAAATAAATTGAGACAAAACTGTAAGATTTGGAGCTTTTATTCAAATGGATTTTCATTTTTGATGCAAACCTTTTGACATCTCTTTGTAATTATTTGATATGTATTTTCTTATTTACATTCCATTAAAACAGTTTTTAGTGGTTTTCAGAGGTTTTCACTTGTTTTTGATATAATTATATAAATATACAGTATATTAGTTATCAAATTGAATAATTACTAAATG